TCCTTTTTTGACTATCTCCTGGCAGCTCATACCACTTGGTATCAGTGGGCTGGTAGAAGGCAGGGATCCAAGCAGAAACAATATGAAGATACAGGGAGGAGGAAAGAAGCCATCCAGTGACCAGATGCTAAACAAATCTTGCATAAAACTGGCAGTTTCACTGATATTTTCAGTGTGAATGAGGATGCAGACCAAGAAAAAGCCATCTTCCCTAGGGTTACTCTGACATTAATATTTGGTTGACTGGCTATGAAGTCTAATAGCTTTTATCTACCTCATTTTACCCCAGCCAAAGACATCTGGTAACTGAGCCCTGCTCAGGTTCCTTGACACAGTGCCCATCTATCTTATCCTATTAAGGCTTCCAGTTTTCTGTGCTGTAACATATCCAGGTGCCATGTCCACACCAGATGGCTTTCAGGCCTATTTTCATCATCAGTTTCTTGTGTTTGTTGTGATACCTTTTTTTTTTTTTTTTTTTTTAAATGAGAAGTGGGATGAGATCAGGTTTCTGGGGAAAGGAGATAAAGGCAGTGGCTCAAGTATCATACTGCAAACCAGAGAGGGCAATAGGCAAAGTTGTTTTTTTTTTTTAATTTTAAACTGTTATTATAAAGGTGATAGACAGAGGGATTCCAGTTACATAAGTCAGAATACATTTCTCCCCCTTCCCCTGGCTCTCTTCCAGTTTTCCCCTCAGCAAACAATTTTTTCAATTTGGGTTCTGCTTTTCTCAAAAACTGGTTTCAAAAATTCAGGGCTTGAGCTGGGCACTGGTGTCTCATATCTAGCTACTTTAGGAGGCAGAGATCTGAGGATCACGGTTTGAAGGCAGCCCAGGGAAGAAACTCTGTGAGACTCTTTTCTCCTTTAGCCACAAAAAAGCTAGAAGTAGAACTGTGGCTCAAGTGGTAGAGCACTAGCCTTGAGCAAAAAAAGCTCAGGAACAGTGCCCAGGCCCTGAATTCAAGCTCCAGGACTGGCATCAAAACCCCCCACAAAACCCAAAAGAACAACAAAGCATTGTTTGGTTTAAAATAAAAAATATAGATTTATTGACTTCTTTTCTTTTGGTGATGCTGGGGACCACACATACAGGAAGGATCTCTAATGTTTGCTAGCAGAGCCAGGTGTGGTGAAGCCGCACTCAGCAAACTGCTGGTGGGAGAATCAGTGGCTGTAAACTGTCTGCGAGGTGACTTGGATTACTTACTAAACGCACAGATCCTGCGACTCCGTGATTCCGGGTAATTCACTGCAGTATGAGTGTGGCAAAGGTCAGCAACAGCTTAAAGTGTTTACAATAAAGATTGGTTACTATGACATTATACCATATAATAGTAAATTCATTATGTTTATGCATAAAACAGCCTGGAACCATACACTGGAAGTAACAGTGCTAGACAGAAAGGGATGAGAGGGACTTTTATTTCCTTGGTGGTACTGGGGTTTGAAATCACTTTTGTTTTTGTTGGTTGTAGGACTTGAACTCAGGGCTTGGGCACTGTCCCTGAGTTTCTTTAGTTCAAGCTAACACTCTACCAATTTGAGCCACAGCACCACTTTTGGTTTTCTAGTAGTTTATTGGAGATGAGAGTCTCATGGACTATTCTGCCCAGGCTGGCTTTGAACCATGATCCTCAGATCTCAGTCTCCTGAACAGCTAGGATTACAGGTGTGAGCCATAAGCACCTGGCAAAGTAAAAGTATTTTACTTGCTAAGCAGGTGCTTTACCATGGGTGTCCCTCAGCAGATGAGACTTTTCACTTATTTTTTTTTAGAACTCAGTACCTCATGTTCTTGCTTGGTTTTCTTGCTATGGCCGGAACTCTACCATTTGAGTCAATCTCCAACCCAGCTTTTTGCTCACAGCCTTTTCTGGCTGGCTTCAAATCTCCATCTTCTGGATCTCAGCTTCCTGAATAGCTAGGATTACAGGCATCAGTCACATTCTTCTTTGTGTGCTTCTCCTAGGCCTTGAACTCAGGGCCTGGGTGTTGTTCCTTAGCTAACATTGCTCAAGGAAAACACTACCAATGGAGGCCACAGCAAGTTTCAGCCTTTTGATGGTTAATTGGAGATGAGTCTCATAGACTTTCCTGGCTGGGCTCACTTCAAACTGCAATCCTCAGACCTCAGCCTCTGTATAGGTAGGATTACAGGTATGAACTACTGGCATGAGTCAGCTTTTTTTTCATACTTCACTGACAGAGATATAAAGAACTAATGCATCTTTTTTTGGCACAGTAGCCAAATTTGTCCTTCCGTATGACATGTAACCAGGCCAGAGCTAATGAGTCAAACAACTCCCGAATTTTCTTTTTTTTTTCCTTTTTGGGTCCGGTCATGGGGCCTGAACTCTGGGCCTGGGCGCTGTCCCTCAGCTCTTCAGCTCAAGACTAGCACTCTACCACTTGAGCCACAGTGCCACTTCCAGCTTTTTTCTTTTTGCTTATGTGGTGCTGAGGAATCGAACCCAGGGCCTCATGCATG